TTTTTGGCAATTTCACGGACAAATCCTCATAATGCGCTTGCTGCTCCCTACTTCAACCCCGATAGGGGACCCTTTGATTGAAAAGGCTGAATAGCATTGGTTGAGAAAGTCTTAGATCTGCTTGACAAGGAGAAGCGAAAGCTTACAATGTGTCGTGCTTGTATGTGGGGGAAATGTTGGTCTCATCCTTGGGAATCAGAGAGTTTTCCTTTTCCAGGCGTTTGATAAACCCTACCCGTTTGTCACCTGGACGAAACAATTCAGCAGACATGTCCAACGCACAGTTACAAAATCCCTGCCCCATTTGCTTGCTGCTAAACACGTTTGTACAAATGAAATTAGCGGGAAAAAGGGTCCACCTTACCTTCTGATTTAATAATTATTTTGTGTCTTCGCACATTAGTCTCTAGCCCTCTTATAGATAGGCACGAATCCTACTGCTGTTCGCCACTCCAAGAAGGTGCTACAGCCCATACACACACCCCGAATGCCATATTGAGGTAGGAGAGAAGGGCGCGGTCCATGGCAATTTTAACTCCTTTGGGCTGCTTACTTAGGAATGACGAGGCACAATTTTATGAAGGACTTGCAAGCCGCCATATCTTGTATCTGGAAACAGCGTAGGGGCTGAAATATTGGAACTTGCGACGATAAAAAAAAACTGCCATGAGGGCCTCATCTACTGCCATGTTGTGAGCTAATTTTATGGAAGGGTAGATCCGGAACCATTAAAAAAAGGGAGCCATTATGCCGTAGCAGGAAATTCGGCTAGAATTAATTTTGAATAATACATAATAAACATTGCTTAGAAGGATTTGTAACATTCAAATTGGTTATCATGTTCATTTAGGCTATAATACAGCAATGCCTTGGTCGCCCCTTTTGGTGATTAGTGCATTTCTGCTCCCGTGAGTTACTTGACAATTTCCCCCATCATTCCTCGAGGAAATGATCACAGGCAACAGAAGGTGTGTGACCCTCTTCGTCCCCCACATCCGTGCGGACATTGCAAAGCGGCACGGTGGTATGTTCTTCGGAATTGATTCCTTACTAACATTCACTTTGTCTTCACAGGTCGCTAAGCAACTATGACAGTATGGCGAATTTCCTTTCCATTAGTGGATATAGTGACAGCTGCGAAAACCAACTGCCCTGCTCTGCACGCCTAACGACTAACTTGCTCTTCTGTGATTCGCTCCGGCCTGGACTGATTGGATCGCACCTGACCTGACATGACTCGACCACGTTGGCATCACCTAGTGAAAAGACAAGTGCTCCTGACGCCTAGCTTCATTAGACGTTACCAGATACCTCTTCAATGCATCACCTACGGCACAAAATACACGATTTTACAAGTGTCCCACACAACCACCTTCAATGTCAGGCGGCAACACGATAGTGTGGGGAACCACATTGCTTCCAACAGCGGTGCTCACTCCTCACCTCGCTGCTACAGGAATTCATAAGAGTCATGGCGATTAGAGCCCCCTTCGCTGAAGACATCAGTCGCAAAACCTCTTCATCCCCTCCACTCACATTTACACTGCCAGGCACCTGCAGTCGGCCGCAAATATCCACCAATCGTACCATTTGGCCGTGGCAGGAATGTAATTCACTCAAAGTGCTCAGCCGTCCAGTAAATATTCAATCAGCTGCCTCCCGCTATGGTGCACTCATGCACTACACCAATTCTCGCAACACCTTCAACTTTGCAGTTAAATTGACATCCAAAAATGGCTCAACTTGCAGCACTTTCCATGAGCATTCGATCACACGAAAGCAATCACAATGGACCACTCAATTCCCTGCTTCCAACTCAACCGTTCCGCAAATGTTCAAACAAAGGACTTTAGCGGAATACCCCTCCTTTAACGCCACATACTTCTCCCTCTCCTCCCCTTCCTCTCCATCCTCGTCTGCTACTGCCAAATGCAGTTTGTCGTTAGCCT